AATGAAACAAAGAATAATATATACTTTATTATCAAAATGTAATTTTATATTTTCTTTGCTTAGAAATTTGTACAAGCCTTGATCACTCACACACATGCACACACATAGTGTTAGAACACACTAACACATACTTAGTATGTTGGTTAACAGTAGAAATCCCTTATGCTAGCCATTAGAGTTTATAGATATTGAGTGAGTCTTAAAATATTTCATTTATACCCCTTAACAATTAGAATCTGGAAAAACTCAAAAGATCAAAGTTCTAGGTCTCTTCAATATCTTTCCAACAAATCTTAAATCACCTCATTCCGATATCGGATGAGAAAGTTACAGTCAAAATACTAAAACGAAAATTCCAGAATCGTGAGTTACAGTGTAGTCGACTACTATGCCTTGTAGTCGACTACTAAGCAATTTTCTGACTTCACAGAGTCTGTTTAGACTCAGTGTAGTCGACTACTATGACTTGTAGTTGACTATGGATGCAGTTTTTCCAGATTCCAAGTTTTGAATAAGTGACTGTTTATAACCGTTTTGTGTACGTTTTTAGGGGTTGAAAACTTGTCTTTTTAAGGGATATAAATAGGTTATAAGTTTAGAGATTTTCACAATTAATTTATACACATAAGATCAAACATTTGTGCATATTCACTCTCTAGTTTTCCAGATTTTCATGCTAAGTGTTTAGAAAAAGAGAGTTTCTGATATTACCTTGGTTTCAATCATTCTTAGAGATTGTATAGGCAATATTCAGAGAGTTAAAAGAATCCTAAGCCACTACTGCACTTCACTACACATTCAAGGCTTATAGGATCAATTGTGTTCTTGCTTCAAAAAGGATTTCTCTTAGGTTTGAGAGGGTTGATCTCTTGGTTTAGAGATTGGGTGACGATTGGCATGGTCTTGTCAATTGGGTTTGCAATTTGCATGGTCTTGCAAATTGGTCAGGTTTGCTTTTGATTTTGTAAGGTTTCAAAATCATAGTGAAAACTCTCAAGCGTGATTTGCTTGGGGACTGAATATACACCAGGGAGGTGGAACCAGTATACATGTTTGTGTTTGTGATGTTCATTGTCTAAGATTGTTATTTTTTCTTTGCAATTTATAATCTACTTTACAAACTCGCCCTCTAATGTTTAAGTGTAAAGCTTCCGCAGATTTTTATAAGAGCGCACTCTATTATTAAGGGTCACGATCCTACACTTGGTATACATAAGCAAAAATAGGACCCTACATTCCTCTCCCTTTCTCTCCCCAACCTCACCCCCTCCCCCTCCCTCCCCCTCTACACCCTCTCCCTCCACGCCCCGTCATTAACGGACCGCTACTTCACCGTGGGCCTGGTCACCTCCTTGTACTCCTCCAACATCGGCTTCCTCCTCCTCAACAAGTACCTCCTCTCTAATTATGGCTTCAAGTACCAAATTTTCCTCATGATGTGTCACATGACCACCTGCTCCCTCCTCGGCTACGTAGCCATCGCTTGGCTCAAGATCATCCCGATGCAGACCATCAGATCTAGGCTCCAGTTCCTCAAGATCGCTGCTTTGAGCCTCGTCTTCTGCGGATCTGTGGTCAGCGGGAACATCTCGCTGAGGTACCTGATGGGATGTTAATTCGAGCAACTTTTTAGTTAATTATTGCCCTCTAAAGTTTCCTGTTATATCATAATATATAATCATGATTTTCTGCCTTGCTTTTAATTTGTGTTGAGTTTGCTTCATTTTGTTTTTTTACTGGTTTAAGAATTGAGTGGAACCAAAATATGTCATTGCAGGAGTTATGCACTTCCTTAATCTCTGGATTCCTCCATATATCCATGTTGATTTTGTCTAGATCAGTTTTTCACACTCACCAAAAAAGTAAGATTAACTGCTTTCATCTGAATTCTACTTTATTTTTTGCTAGCTGTATATATTTGTGCACTGGCATTAATGGTCTCATAAGCAGCATAAGGAAATTTGCACCTGTGTGCTGGCGTCAATCAATAAATAGATTCATAGGGAGCAATTCATTTGCTGCTGCATTATCTTCCATCTGAAACTGTTCATTTAGTTAAAATATATAGTAGTGCACCAAGAAAGAATCTGACCATCTCCGAAATCTAACTATGATTAAAAAAAGTATGAGATTTTAATTTTGGAATCACCAACATGACTAAGCCTAGCTTTTGATTAGCTCCCTATTTAACTTGGCTAAACTTGTAGTAATAGGTATGTGGTGTTCTGATAAAATCAATTGTTCAACATAAATTGGCACAAGGTAATGGCATAGATCTGTGATGTACTCATGCAATTGTCATGTACTGTATTCAAAGCTATGAGCGCCATGACTTCTATGAAAAACGATTGCTAATGTTTTAAGAGGGAGTACATTCCATAAGCAATGCTAAATAGACATAGAGGAACTATCATCACGTAAGTATGTTAGCACTTATTGTCCTTGCCATGTAGCTATTATATAATTTTGCAATTTCTTAGTTTATTGTACATTTTCAGCTAAAGTTGATCCTCAAATTGGTTGTATTGTCATCGTGTAATCCATTTATAAACACCCTAATTTTCCCTTCTTCCATTGGATAGTAATGAAGAAAAATAGTTTATATTATTGTTTGTCTCACAGCAGTTGTTCGTTTGCAATCAGAGAAAACTTATTTGAAATGGATTCTCAAGATACAAAGTATACATGGCCCTAGCGCTCCTCTGCCTTTTCTCAAATCCATTGAGGTACAAATATTTGTATCCTTTAACTGGGAAAAAATATACTGTATTTGCTAACAAGAATGTCTAATGACTTGATTGTTTTTCTCGTATAATTTATTTATATATGCATTTTGCTCATGCCAGTGGTAGATTGAAGCACATTCATGCCAGTGGTATAATTTATTCATGCATTTGCTAACAAGAACTGAAACAAGCTAACTTAGCTAATAATGGCTAAAAGATGCTGATTTAGCTAATGTGTTTGTTGTATGATTTGACATTTGAGTGTGCAATCATTCCCTGAAATCTTTAGTTGGGTATTCATTTTGTATATACAAACCGAGGTAGTCGAATAGAAGAATTTTGGTTTTGTTTTCCGTCTATTGTATATCCTCTATCTGTGGTTTTAATTTTTAATTTTGGTTTTGTTTTCCGTCTATTGTATATCCTCTATCTGTGGTTTTAATTTTTGTTTCCCATGTTTTGCAAGTGTTTATCTGTTAACAGAAGTGTTGGTCATTGGAGAATTCAGGTGAGCTTTGTTACTGTGTATTTTAGATCTCAATGCATTAGTGTGCATTCATGTGTTTTGATGGTGTTCTACTTTTTATTGATTGGTTCTTTTACATGGGGATATTATAAAATTGTCCATGAAAATATGTATCCTTTTGGAAATATGATATAATCTTTCACTAAATTATGGCTTCAGTTTGTATTATCATTTATGTGCATCATGATAATTCAAAACATGCTTGGGCTGGGTTTCTGCGATGCTACTAAAATGGTGATACATACACTTGCATTGACAGGCTGTATTGATCTTGGATTAATTGCATTCATTAATTGCATTGACAGGCTGTATTTGTAGATTAGTTGTTAAAAATGTATTTCTTTACTAGATGCAAAGACCAGAGGACGTTCTTGCTGCGAACCACTTTGTTTTTCATGTGGCTGGAGCTTTTGAAGCAGCTTTGAATGTGTTAAATCAGAATGGGTAAGTTCTCTTTTAGTTACTTACAGTTATTGTTTTGAATAACTGTGAGTTTGAGGATCTTCAGCAAGTTTGAGGTGTTGGAACTAATTTAAAGATTTGAGTTCTTATGCAAATATGACTTTTGAGGGGTTCTTTTGCAAAATTCCCTTTCCTTATCTAATTCACATACGCGTTATTATCCTCTGTCATCTTCCTCTTTCACCGCTTATTCCATTCTCCGAGCATTAAAATAAAATCCCGGTGATTCCTCCTTCCTTCCTTCTTTACCTCCAAGCGAAAATATCGTCCTCATTGCGGCAACGGCGGCGGCCTCTCCGAACGTGAATTCCTCCTTGATGACAGCGATTATTCCAACGGGAAAATCAAGATTGCTATAAAAGGGGATCTCAATGAAAGATGAAACAGACGAAAAAGAAAAACAGTGAGCAAGCCCTAATCTCCCTCTTATTCTCTACAATATTTAATTTCTGATTTCAATTTTCGGGCAAAACATCCATTGAGCAGAGATCAAAGTTTCGCAGAAAAACTTTGGTGCCGGCTTTCTCGGGGGTTCTTACCGCTAGGCGTGGTCGCATCAAATCGTCTCTGCGAAGGCGGCGACTATTGTTCTAGGGCAGTGATCACACGATTACCCCTTCTCAGGCCTGCGTTTCTAACTTCTTGGAATTTCTATTTTGATTTTTTGCAGAGATTTTCTAACAATCTAGAACAATAGTAGCATTATAATCATTCTGTTTCAAATAATCAATCTGAAGTTTTGTGCTCTGTCATACTTTTGCCTAATTTCTATTTTCCTTATATCCAAGTTAGTATTCACCTTGTTCTGTATTTCTTCTATATACATATTAGCTGATATCTATTACGTTCATGTTATATTAAAAGATAATCAGAAGTCTCTTAACCCAACTTGGAACAGAATTGCACGAAGGCCCCTTAAGCATAATTTTTTCATGTCTTTGTCTCTAAACTAATTTGTTACTGGAATTGCCTTTTGCTTTGTTGTGAAACATAAGCAGTTATACATTTGTGCAAATTAAATACGCATTATATTAATTCATAATATTAAGCTTTGAGTTTCTGCATCTTTGCTTGGTCTTTGGAAAACATATTAATTGTTTTAATAATCTCTATTCATTTGATATTGCATTACAAAGAAATTTGTAGTTCTCTATATTCTCAATATATTCAGTTTGCATATAGTTTCCTTTCATCCATTTTAATAGCATACAATTGTGAATTTCCTTTCTTGAATTTTGCTAGTCATCGTCATATAGTTATAAGTCTATATCTCACAAACAAATTCTTTTCTCAGATCCTTGAATTACCAAGACTAGCAATTTTTATTTTAGGCTTATGGCTAGTTCTGATCTATCTAAGTCTGCCAAACCTGAGAAGTTCACCGGTTTGAACTATAAACGGTGGGCTAATCAGATGAAATATTGGCTTACTACTTTAGGACTTATTTCTGCTATTGACTCTGATTTTTCTCTATCAACACCTACGCCCTCTTCATCATCACAAGCTGAACCTACCTCCACACCTACCACATCATCCGGGATTTCCAAATCTCCTGAGGAAATAAACTTTCATTGTTACAACCGAATCCTTAGTGCTCTTTCAGACAAATTGTATGACATTTATTATGAGTATAAGGATGCAAAAGAATTGTGGGTAGCACTAGAGTCTGAATATGGTTTAGATGATGCTGGTATAGAACGTTTCTCCTCCTCCTCCTTTAATAAGTTTGTTATGGTAGATAGTAAACCCATCAATGATCAGCTTCATGAATTTCAAGACTACATCCGATACCTTCAGTCGAAAGGAAATACTTTCTCTGAAGAATATAAGGTATCTAGTCTTATTGATAAACTTCCTCCTTCTTGGTCTGATTTTGCTAAAGATCTCCGTCATCTACAGGGTGACTTGACTCTTGTACAAGCCCTCAAAGGTATTAGGATAGAGGATCAACATAGGCAAAACTTCGAACCAAAAAATGAGATGAAAGCAAAAGTAAACCTAGTGGAAGAAAAGCCTAAGAACTTTAGAAACCCAAATCACAAACCCAAGGGCAAGAATTTCAAGAAAAAGAATCATTCTCATCGTCCTAACCAACATCCCAATCTCTCTAGAAACCACAAACCTTTTAGCCAAAAGTCTGAGACTAAATTTTGCTATGTCTGTGGGAGAACCAATCATCTTTCAACTCAGTGCTACTACCGAAAGAAAGCTCCTATCAAGACTCCTGTAGGCGGAAAGGGTGAAGAAGCGAGTCATAAGGTCAACATGGTAGAAAATAACTCAGGCTCCTTTAGGTTAGCTTCCTCCTCTTATGTTGTAAATTGTACCACTTTTTCTGATGACTGGTGGTTGGATTCTGGAGCAAATATTCATGTTTCTTCTGATCGCTCTTGGTTTTCAACTTATCAGGAATCAAGTGGAGGAAGTGTAATTCTAGCAGATGACTCGACTAGACAAGTAATGGGAAGTGGACGTGTGGATCTAAAGATGACTTCCGGAAAGATTTTGACTCTTCACAATGTCCTACATGTACCACTACTTAGAAGAAATCTGATTAGTGAATCTGTTTTATTAAAAGTTGGATTTAGGATTGTTAAAGAGTCAAATAAGTTTGTAATTACCAAGAATGATATATTCATTGGTAAAGGTTTTGTTTGTGTAAAGAGTCAAATAAGTTTGTAATTACCAAGAATGATATATTCATTGGTAAAGGTTTTGTTTGTGATGGTCTTTTTAAGTTGAATGTAATAAGATCCTCTGATAATAAAAGTTCTTCCATAATCTTAAATGTTGAATCTTTTGACAAATGGCATGGAAGGTTAGGACACATAAATTATGGAACAATTAGGAAAATGACATCCTTGAACTTGATACCTAAAACCAGGATAGATCCACCTTCCAAATGTGAGATATGTGTTCAAGCTAAAACCATTAGAAAACCTTTCCACTCTATTCATAGAGATTCTGAACCTTTAGAACTTATACATAGTGATGTTTGTGATTCAAACAGAATTCTTACTAGGGGTGGGAGAAGATACTTTGTAACCTTCATAGATGATCATTCAAAGTATTGTTATACATATCTTCTCAAAACTAAAGATGAAGTCTTAGAAAAGTTTAAGATATATAAAGCAGAAGCTGAGAATCAAATTGAGAAGAAAATCAAGATCCTAAGATCGGATCGTGGGGGGGAGTATACCTCAAATATCATGACCGAATATTGCCAAGAACACGGTATTATTCATGAGGTGACTGCTCCCTACACACCACAATCAAATGGAGTTGCTGAAAGAAAGAATAGAACTCTCATGGATATGGTGAATTGTATGCTTCTCAGCTCAGGAGCACCTGAAAACCTATGGGGTGAAGCACTCCTATCTGCTTGCTATATTCTTAATAGGGTACCTCACAAAATATCTGATATCTCTCCCTATGAACTTTGGAAGGGTAGAACACCTAGAATAGATTATCTTAAGGTTTGGGGATGTCTAGCTAAGGTAGGGATACCTGAACCTAAGAAGAGGAAAATTGGTTCAAAAACTGTAGATGCTGCTTTCATTGGATATGCATTAGATAGCAATGCAAACCGATTTTTAGTAGTCAGCTCAGATATTAGTGATATAACCAACAACACTATCATTGAGGCTCGAGATGCTGTATATTTTGAAGATATATTCCCTTTCAAGACTAGGATTCCTAGTGAGCTCTCTTCTAGCACACTTCCTTCTAGATTTGCCTCATCTTCTAGTACTCCACAATCGATAGAAGTAGAACCCAGAAGAAGCAAGAGAGGAAGAATCGAAAAGAACTTCGGAGAAGAGTTCTTTACTTTTTTGGTTGAAGGTGATCCAAACACATACAAAGAAGCTATGGATTCTTCTGAAGCTCCTTTTTGGAAAGAAGCCATAGATAGTGAAATTAAATCTATTATATGAAGCTCCTTTTTGGAAAGAAGCCATAGATAGTGAAATTAAATCTATTATAGAAAATAATACTTGGGTCTTAACTGACTTACCTCCAGGATGTAAACCAATTGGTTGTAGATGGATTTTCAAGAAGAAATTAAGACCTGATGGAACCATTGAGAAATATAAAGCTAGACTAGTAGCAAAAGGGTATACTCAGAAAAAAGGGTATTGATTATTTTGATACATACTCACCTGTAGCTAGGATTTCTTCTATTAGAGTTCTTCTAGCCTTAGCTTCTATTCACAAGATGATTATTCACCAAATGGATGTTAAGACCGCTTTCTTAAATGGTGATCTCGAAGAAGAGATTTATATGGACCAACCAGAAGGGTTCATAGCCAAAGGTCAAGAAAGAAAGGTCTGTAGATTGATGAAATCTCTATATGGGCTTAAACAATCTCCTAAACAATGGCACCAAAAATTTAACAAAATCATTGCGGAATATGGTTTTTCTATCAATGAGTTTGATAAATGTGTTTACTCAAATGTTATTCACAATGATTGTGTCATCTTATGTTTGTATGTAGATGATATACTCATTTTTGGGACTTCAATCGAAGTCGTTCTAGAAGCTAAAAATCATTTGTCAAAGAATTTTGACATGAAAGATCTTGGAGAAGCTGATTTGATTCTTGGAATGAAAATCTCCAAAACTCCTAAGGGCATTTCTTTGAGTCTATCCCATAGCATAGAGAAAATGTTAGAGAAATTTGACTGACATTGCTTATGCAGTAGGTAGACTAAGTAGATACACTAGTAACCCAAGTCAGGAACACTGGAATGCATTAGAAAGAGTCTTTAGATATTTGAGAGGTACAACAGACTATTGTTTAACTTATTCTGGATACCCTGATGTGATTGAAGGGTATAGTGATGCTAACTGGGTCACTGATTCTGACAATGTGAAGTCTACTTCTGGATTTATTTTTATGCTTGGCGGTGCTGCTATATCTTGGAAATCTTGTAAACAAACAGTGATTGCCAGAAGCACCATGGAGTCTGAACTTATAGCTTTAGATTCTTGTTGCTCAGAAGCTGAATGGTTGAAAAACCTTATATCTGAACTCCCTTTTGTGTCCGGACCTATTCCTCCTATATCTGTTCACACAGACTCCAGATCCACTATAGAACTTTTGAAACAAAATACCATCAATAAAAAATTGAACAGACATCTGCAGATAAGATTTAAATCTGTGCAGAACCTTATGGGAAAATATGTTGCTTTGGAGTTTGTGAAGTCAGAGAAAAATTTGGCAGACCACTTGACAAAGGGTCTATCTAGGAGTGCAATCCTAGAATCATCGAGGGGAATGGGGTTAAGCCCATAGTAGAGTTCACTGACAGCGGGAACCCAACCTTTGATTGATGAGTTATTCTCATGGAAAAGGTTCAATGTGGTAGAAACAAGCTGGATTGGTGATCTCGTGTGGAGCACTGACCTTCGGAGTTATACTCATTTTGTAGTGTTGGATGCATTTATGACTTGCACCATGTTAGCTACTCCCTCATTCCTATGGTGACAGTGCTCTTATGATGTGACTGGGCAGGATGAGTTCTACTCTTAATAAGTCCAACCTTTGTGGGGGGTATAATATCCAGTCACAATACCCTTGGAGGACTTACCTACGTGAGAGGAACCGTGACGGCCGCGGTTGGGGACATGGGGCTGAGTCCTAGTAACTCTCATGAGACGGTTATTGTGAGCATGGCCATTATCGCTCCGACCCGCTCGCTCAATAAATGGATGCATATTATGTGTGCTTTTGTTAATTTCTGATCAAGGGGCCTAATTCAAGGTCTAATCCATTATGCCTCTCAGATTGCGACAAATGTCACTAAGTAAAGATTCAAAGCCGAAAGCTATCTTTACCGAATTCATAATATGAGGTTGCCCGACCTATATTTTATTACTGTTATCATTGTTGTTATTATTATTTTCTTTTATTCCCCAGAACTCAATCTTTTGGGGGGGGATTGTTGGAATTAATTTAAAGATTTGAGTTCTTATGCAAATATGACTTTTGAAGGGTTCTTTTGCAAAATTCCCTTTCCTTATCTAATTCACATACGCGTTATTATCCTCTGTCATCTTCCTCTTTCACCGCTTATTCCATTCTCCGAGCATTAAAATAAAATCCCGGTGATTCCTCCTTCCTTCCTTCTTTACCTCCAAGCGAAAATATCGTCCTCATTGCGGCAACGGCGGCGGCCTCTCCGAACGTGAATTCCTCCTTGATGACAGCGATTATTCCAACGGGAAAATCAAGATTGCTATAAAAGGGGATCTCAATGAAAGATGAAACAGACGAAAAAGAAAAACAGTGAGCAAGCCCTAATCTCCCTCTTATTCTCTACAATATTTAATTTCTGATTTCAATTTTCGGGCAAAACATCCATTGAGCAGAGATCAAAGTTTCGCAGAAAAACTTTGGTGCCGGCTTTCTCGGGGGTTCTTACCGCTAGGCGTGGTCGCATCAAATCGTCTCTGCGAAGGCGGCGACTATTGTTCTAGGGCAGTGATCACACGATTACCCCTTCTCAGGCCTGCGTTTCTAACTTCTTGGAATTTCTATTTTGATTTTTTGCAGAGATTTTCTAACATGAGGCTCCTCTCTCATCATCAAGCAATGAAGTGGGAAATAAAGTTGGGAGGCAAGAAGGTGAAGAAGGAGAAGAAGAGGGCTTGAGTAAATGTATAGGTAAGGAGCTTCTATAGTGTCATAGCCATTGTAAATAATTTATGTAAAAGTTTATAAACAATTTATGTATTTCTCTACTATTTTGGTGAATGTATTATTTGAATATAATTGGATTTAATATTAGAATATAATTAGATTGTGTTGGATATAAATATAATTTGTTGTTGTTCAATATTGTGTAATGCACTCAAAGTAGATTCTGCAAAAAAAAAAAAACTACTGTAGCATAACATCCTAGACGGAAATTCCGTCTAGGATGCTCAAATTCGATCTAGGATGCTTGTTTTTTTGAAAAATATTAAAAAAATTAAAAAAAATATCCTAGACGGAATTTCCGTCTAGGATGGGTATCCTAGACGGAAATTTTCGTCTAGGATACCCATCCTAGACGGAATTTTTTTCCGTCTAGGATGTAGTATTCTAGACGAAAATTCCGTCTAGAATAATCTGTCTAGGATGTATTCTAGACGGTTTTGAATTCCGTCTAGAATAATCCGTCTAGGATGTATTCTAGACTGAATTTTCGTCTAGTATACTACATCCTAGACGGAAACATACTAGACACGTATTCTAGACGGAATTCTGTTTAGGATACGCATCCTAGACGGAATTTTCCGTCTAGGATGCCTCATTATTTAGTAGTGAATAGACTGAATAATTTTCCTCGCATCGATATAGTAGAAAAATGCTCTAAAAGTTAAGGTGATAAATTTGGTTAAGCTAAAAGAATAGGAGTGGGGAAGGATGCATGCATGTCCGAAAGTAGGACTGAGAGAAGGTGGATCTATCATTGGGTAAGAGGGGAAGTAAACACTATGAGAAGGAATTAAGTAACAATAACTTTCTTAATTTATTGCAAGTTTTGGTAAGAAAATGATAAATTAATGTAAGGAATAAGATGTTAACAACGTATGGAAGTTTGGATAAGATGTTAACGTATAGAAGTTTGAATCTGAATCCTATTAGAGCCGCTCGCAAGCGAGAACGAATTACAAATTTGCCCTCTTCATTTCCATCATAGGAATCGAAACCGTCCATCACACGTGGATGTTTCTTATACGATTTGAACTCTAGAGATTTTGTGTCAGTACTCCCAAATTGCTCATATTTGGATCCAGAAGTTCTGTCTTTTCGCACTGGACAAAGACATGACTAACTGCATGAATACAAATGAGGAGGTATCAGCGTCCAAAAGGTATGTATACCTCAAGATCAATCTGCATCATTTTCTAAGCCACGTCTCATAGGAGGAGGATTTAAAAAAAAAAAAAAAACTTTTTTGTATTCTCATGTTCCTCAAATCATGCAGAGAACAAACATATAATGTGACGCATGAGACTACGTCATGATTCTGGTCTATTCGACTATTCCCTCTTTTAACGCGCGCATCTTTGTAAAACTTGGGAACAAAAAATTTCACAAGGCACTAGCGTTGCCAACATATCAATCAATACTATAGTAATAAGTAAAAATCTGATAGTATTACTGTCAAATCCTGAGGGACCTAATAGTTAATATTTAATAGTGTCTTTTCCCATCATCCTTAAGACCTAATTCATGGCTAAATATCCATATTGATATTTTAATTCCACCCCATTTACCAAGAAGGTATTTTAATTAGGCAAACCTGCTTTAAGGCATTTTAATTGATTCAACTTACCAACAAGGCACTTTTTCTCGTCGGCGACCAGTTTTCTGGTAAGAGCTCGTCACGTGCGTGACACGTGATGACTTAAACTGCTTTTTAGCTGCTGATGTGGTACGGATTTTCTGACGTGGCAGTGTTTAAAGGCGGGAATTAACCCTCTAAAAATCTCAATTCACCCAAAATAGGACAGATCCGTGCCACATCAACAGCTAAAAAACAGTTTAAGTCATCACGTGCCACGCACTTGACGAGCTCTCGCCGGAAAACTGGTCGCCAACGAGAAAAAGTACCTTGTTGGTAAGTTGAATCAATTAAAATGCCTTAAAGCAAGTTTGCCTAATTAAAATACCTTCTTGGTAAATGAGGTGGAATTAAAATACCAATATGGGTATTTATCCCCTAATTCACTCCACATCTTGGAAATCTTTTTTTTTTTCCAAATTCTATAAATCATTGCTTTGTCATCTCCCTTTACAAAAAAAATCTTAACCTATCTCCCAGGTGTCCTGATATACATATAACAAAGTCAATATATATTCAATCCACCGGTGACAACTAGCGTATGTGCTACAACAATAAAAGTAACCTCTAGAGTTGTAAAGCTTATTAAATCAACGCTTTGAAAACAAACAGAAAGATTTCATGTTTCTCAAAACTAATTGAAAACGTTTTAGTGGAACTAATTTGAAATCATGAAACATTCCATTTTTCATAGTGCAATTGAAAACTGAACCATTAATGGAGAATGATCCACTACTACACCAATTTCTTTATAAATGGAATGTACAGCATCATCATATTTCATCCAGCTGATCACATGCTTTGATTCAGAACATCGGAATACTACCAAATTAACATTTTTGTATGAATCCTAGGGAAAAACTTGCAGGCTTAATTTTACCTCGGATAAAATAGTTGCAGACTCCCGTTGACATATGCATT